GCGCGGAGGCTGCGTGCTGGCCGGCCGGCGGGTCTGTGACAAGTCGAGCTCTGATATGAGCCCCACCTGTTTCCGACACCACTCGGCATGCAGCTTTGTCACGCAACCCGTCACATAATTGAACACGTGGCATACAGCATGTCGGATTGAGAGCGTTGCGCCCACCCTCTCGGGGGTTGTTTCAACAGGTCGCATCAGTGGCCGCCGAGCGCGACAGCCTGGCGACGCAGAACGCGAGCCTTGCCAAGGCCTTCTCATCTGCAGTGGCCCGCAAGGCCGTCGCGGCCGAGCACGCGCAGGAGCGGGGGCAGCCGGACGGCGGCGACTTCCAGCCGACGCAGGCGCAGGCGCAAGGCGGCGGCGCGCCGGCGGCGGCGTCGCCGGCGCAGCTGCGGGAGATCGCGTCTCTGATGCAGCGGCTGACGAAGGAGAACGCTGTCCTCATCAAGGCCAGGTGGGGCGGGAGGGACCACGGGCTGTTGTGTACGTGGTTGGATGTCATCACCACTTTTGGCCTGGGTGGTTGTGAGGCCGCCACTATGTTCCAGCAGCTCTTATGAGGACAGATGTTGACCCAAGGGTGAGTGCCAGGGCCATGATGCGACACGCTCGAGCGCGCGCAGCTGATGCTGTGCTGATGTCTCGCCCAAATGCACCGCCCATTGCATGGAAACCATTGCAGGGACGCGTCCGAGGCGCAGCGCGCCGCCCTCGAGACCCAGGCAACCTCCTGGGCCGCACGCGAGGCCGAGCTCGCCGCCGAAGCGGAGCGCCTCTCGGGGCAAATGGCTGCCGCCCGCCGCGAGCGCGAGGCGGCGGAGGCGGCCCTTGCTGCGGCGCGGCAGGAGGTTGGCGAGCAGGCGGCGCGCAGCGAGCGGCTGGCGGCGGCGCTGGCGGAGGCGCGGGAGGAGCGGGACGCGCTCGCGGCGCACAACGCGAGCCTCGCCCAGACGACGCACCAGCTAATGGGCGGCGGCAGCGGCCCCGGCGGCGCCGGCAGCGGCGGCGGCGGCAGCCCGGCGCGGGGGTCGAACTCGTCGGGAGGCGCCGCTGGCGGCGGCGCGCGGGCGCTGGGGTCCGCGCAGCTGCGGGAGGTGGCGGCGCTGCTGCAGCGGCTGACGAAGGAGAACGCGGCGATCATGAAGCAGCGCGACCAGCTGACAGCGCGGCTGGAGCCGCTTGAGTCCGAGGCGCGCCGGGCCGCCGGGCAGCTGGAGGCCGCGGCGGCGGAGCGGGCGGCAGCGGCCGCGGAGCGCGACCGCGCGCGTGGCGACGCGGAGGCGGCGCGGGGGGAGGCCGCGAGGGCTGCGGCGCAGCTGCGGGCGACGGCGGCGGAGAAGGAACGGCTTGCGCAGCAGGTGAGGTTTGGGGGAGTATCAGAACAGCGGGTTCGGCTGGCTCGGGTCTTTGTTGGTACGATGGCTCGTGTTCAGTCACTGCAGCAGCTCACTCGTTTCACAGCTGCCCACCAATCGCATTGGATTCCACGACATGCTTGCCTGTGCATCGTGGGCACCATTGATGACCGCAGGTGACGTCACTTGCGGCCGAGCGCGACAGCATGGCGGCCCAGAACGCCAGCCTCGCGCAGACCACCTCGCGGCTGATGATGCCGCGCTCCCCCAGCGACGACGGCGGCCCCGCCTCCCTCGCCGGCGGCAGCGGCAGCGGCGCCGGCTCCGCCGGAGGCTTCGGCACCTTTGCCGCCGGCGGCGACGCCGGCGTTACCGTGGCGGCTGCGCCGCGCGCCGACGGCCGGCGGAGCCGCGGCCCGAGCGGCGCAGGGGACGGCGGCGGCGGCAGCAACGGCGCGGGCGCGGGCGCGCCGCCGGCGCTCAGCCCCCGGCAGATGAAGGAGATCGGGGCGCTGCTGCAGCGGCTGACGGGCGAGAACGCGCGGTTCCTTCAGGAGCGCGACGCCGCGACTGCCAGGGTCCTCGCGCTCGAGGCAGAGGCGGCGAGGCTGAGCGAGCGCCTGGCAGCCGCGCAGCCGGGACCCGCGCGGGCGCCGG